GGGGCGGGGGCCTGCCAGCACTAGCCCCCAGCACGCCTGAGACCAAGGCCTAGGCAGGCCCCAGGGGGCTCTGTCATGCCCCTGCCATCAGAGAAGCTTATGGATGATGTCAGATAGAATCTGATGTCTTCCGAGACAGACTCAGGTTCTGATCCTGGCTTTGCCACGTTCTGGAAGAACGACTTGTGAGTCTTGGTTTCCTTGTCTTTAAAATGGGAAGGAAAGAGCGGACTCAGCGAGTACAAAGTCCCCAGGGAGCTCGGCCTGTCTGACAGCAGCAAGCACACTTGAACTGCAGAGGGACCTGGTGTGGGCCTTCCAATGAGGACAGGCAGCTCCCGTGGGACTTTGGGGTCGAGTTTGACAGTTCGGATTGTATTATAAAGGCAGTGGGAATTACTGGAAGTTTTCAGTGTGTGTGTTGGGGGGGATTTGGGTTTGGGAAAGATTGTTCTGGCCGCTGAGAATAGGCTGGAGGGTCAGGAGTGGAGACAGGGAGGCCAGGGCCGAGACCACCGTGGGCTGGGCCGTTGGGAGACCTCGCAGCTCCAGCAGGATGGGGTGCCCTTCCCTGCACACTCCTGCTGGGTGCCAGGCCTCTGGACCTCTGCCTGGCATCCTGTCTCCCCTTCCTCACCTGGTTTTCCGTCCAGCGTGGGTACCTGGGGACAGCCAGTGTCATCAGTGGAAAGCTGCTGATGGCTGAAATAAGAACCCCATGTCCTTTGAAGCAACGTGGATGGAGCCGGAGACCATTATCCTAAGAGAACTGACTCGGAAACAGAAAACCAAATACCGCATGCTCTCCCTCATCCGTGGGAGCTAAATGGTCACAAAGATGGAAATAACTGACACCGGGGACACCGACAACAGGGGGTTAGGATCCAGAAATTATCTATGGGGCACAGTGTTCATATCTGGGGAATGGGTCACCTGAGACCCAATCCCCGCCCTACACAATACGTCCGTGTAATGATCGTGCATGAGTATCCCCTGAAAATAAAAACAAAACACAAAACAAAACAAAAACCTCCTTGTCTCAGAGGCCCAACATGCAGAGGTGTTTTTCACACTCACATTAGAGTCTGGTGTGGATGGCTGGGGGTCAGCGAGGGTGTGTCTCTCAGATGATTCTACCCCGCCGCCCCCCCGCATCCAAGGACTTCACTTGATTCTGGTAGGGGATGGGGGAGAGAGGGAGGGAAGGAGGGAAGAGGAAAGATGGGAGGAGGGGGGAGAGGGAAAGCGAACAAGAGACAGGAGGATCAAAGGTGAGTTTTTTTAAGGCCTAGAAGTCGAATATATCACTTCCTTCCATATCCCATCGGCCCCACCTAAATTGCAAGGGAGGTTGAGAAGTGGGGGAGGACAGGGCACAGCAGGGTACAGGGACACACTCTGACTTCCCTCTCATACCACGACGTGCCTCTCCCCCACACTCCCCAAGCTGTGCGATGTCACATGGAGGATGTAGACACTGTGTGTGTGTTTAAGACCCCCTCAACACACAGAGCCTTTCCATCCGAGGTGTCCTGGGCTGTGCCTCGTGGCCATAGCTGGAGCCCCTGCCTTGGGATGGGAGCTGCCCCCATTCCTCACTTGCCCCTTGCTCAGGCAGCTTCGACTGTGGAAGTTCCCCGATGTTCCCCCAGGCTTGATGGTGGACAGGAGTCCGGCCCCCTCCCCTGGTCCTGCCCTGCTGACCTGTGCTACCCCGCTCGGCTCCCTGGACCTGGCGTAGCCTGGCCTCGGGGGCTCTGGGATGCTCAGTAAACGTTTGCTGAATGAATGACAGAAGGAGTGCAGGATGGAGGAGGAAGAGTCTTGAGTGGTGCATGCAGGGTAGCTGGGGCGTCCCATGGACAGAATTGTCTTGCACGCCCTGCCACTCCCAGTTGGGCCTGTGACTTCGGGCTTTGCCTGGGATGCATTTTTCCTTTATAAGTAGAAGCTTTTAAAGTTGTGTCTGACTTCGTTTATGCAGGGGCAGGAGAGACATTCATGCCATAGGGAGGGGTGTGGAGAGAGGGGTGTCCTTCCTACCCCTCCCCAGCTGACTTTCCTCCTTGGGAGAACCTGCCTTTTGGCTTCTAGAGAAGCTTCCAGGAATATTCTATGCTTCCTAAACCCTGGCTGTTGTTCTTAGCCTCTGGTGGTGACTGTTGTGTTTATTACCCTCCCCTTAAGCCAGAGAGCCTTGCTCTAGGGGGAGGTACAGCCGGTGGGGAGGGAATTGGCCTTACCAAGAGCCTACTTCGTGTGGTCACACTGGGTGCCTGGGCACATCTATTGTCAGAGCCTCTCGACAAGCTCAGGTAGGAACTGTTCTCCTTGTGTTTCAGGTGTGTAGTCGAAGCCCAGGGAGGCCAAGGTCACCCGGCTGCCACAGCCATGTCCGCTTGGTCCTGCTCCTCGAGGGTGGCCATGCTCCATGCCTTTCTTTCCCCAGCTCAGCCCTGGGGTTTGCATGATTCTCTTTTTAGGGTGTTGAATTCTACATTCTCACGTCTGCAGAGCTGCCCCCGATCTACCTTTTCAAGACAGGTGGAGCTTACGATAAAACCCCTCTGGAACAGGGCTGTTAAAATTGGGAATGGGAGAAAGCAGAGCCACTTCTCCTGGACTTGTGGACAGAACTTTCCAGGGTCTGTGGGCCTGTGACACTGCACATAAATAGACGTGCGTCTTTCTAAAGAGCATCCATAACTTTTCATCATTAAATAAAGAGGCCCAGGCTGGGCGTGATGGCTCATGCCTATAATCCCAGCACTTTGGGAGGCCGAGGTGAGAGGATTGCCTGAGCCCATGGGTTCGAGACCAGCCCGGGCAACTTGGCGAGACCTCATCTCTACAATAAATAAAAAAATTAGCTGGGCATGATGGCATGTGCCTGTAGTTCCAGCTACTTGGAAGGCTAGGGTGAATGATTTCCTGAGCCCAGCAGGTCGAGACTGTGGTGGCTGTGAGCATGCCACTGCACTCCAGCCTGGGCAACAGAGGAAGACTCCAACTCAAAAAAAAAAGAAGAAGCCTGAGCTGAACCTCTCCCCACCCCCTCCAAAAAAGGGGGGAAAGGAACAGAAACCATGACTTGAGAGGAAGAGAACGATTCTAGAATGTTCAATAAATGACCATCAGATTGTTTGAAAAGCCCTGAGAGTCATCCCTGAGTGCTAAACAGAGTGAAGGGCTTCCTGGAAGGCTGGGTGAAAAGGGGTCTCTGAGAGATGGCGTTTGGCAGGCTGAGGGGAGGAGGCACGCTGGGGGCACCCAGAGGGACGTGTTTGTGTGAGGCCTGGGTGTTGGCAGGTGTATGTGTGACCAGATGAAGATGTCACAGGCCTGGGTGGCCTGTGTAAGATGGTGGCGGTGGTGGAGGCGTGTGGCTGGGTCCCTGTTTGAGAGTGAGTGCATGAATGTGTGTGTGTGTGTGTGTGTGTGTGTGTCGTGTGTGAGTGTGTGACTCTGTGACTAGTGTGTGCAACTGTGAGTGTGTGTATGTGTGTGTGACTGTGTATGTGTCAATGTTGCCAGTGTGTGTGAGCGTGTGAATGTGTGTATGTGTGAGTGCGTGTGAGAGTTGTGAGTGTGAGTGTGAGACTGTGTGTGTGAGTGTGTATGTGTGACTGTGTGTTTGTATGACTATGAGTGTGCCTGTGTGAGTGTGAGTGTATGAGTGTGTATGTGAGTGTGTGATGGTATGACTGTGCATGTGTACAAGTGAGTGCGAGATTTGTGTGAGTGTATCACGGTGTGTGTGACTGTGAGTGTGCAGTGTGTGTGAGTGTGTGACTGTGTTTGTGTGACTGTGAGTGTGCAGGCGTGTGAGTTTGTGTGAGTGTGTGTGATGGTGTGAGCGTGCATGCGTACAAGTGAGTGTGCGACGGTGTGACTGTGTGTGAGTGTGTGTGCGCGTGCGCCACCCCCGGCGTGGGAGGCAGATCTTTATCTGGCCCTGGCTGCCTGAGGAGTTTCAGGCTTTCTCACAGCCTCCTCTCCCCGCCTCCCCACCGGCCTTGCCCCTCCATCCCTGCACAGGAAGTGGGCTGGCCCTGGGGTTTAGTCTTGCCGGCCCCAGCGTCTCCTACCTGGGCCAGAGCCGAGCGGGGCCCTGGGGAGATGGCCATGGTCCCCACGTCTGGGAAGACTGGAGAAAGCAAGCCGCCGCAGCCCCATGTCTCAGCCAGGTGATGCCCGCCCCCGCACCCTGCCCAGCCCTGGAACCCTGCATCCCTCCCGGGCCCTGTGGACCCGCCGGGGAGGCTGGGAGTGAAGGTCACGGGGAAGACTCTTGGCTCTGACTCAGTTCCCCCAGCAGTTTCTGTCGGAGCTTCCACCTCCAGCCTTATCTTAGAATCCCACGGGGCTGGGGAGGGCCAGGCTCTCACGGCTCCCGGCTGGGGAAAATTGGCCCCTAGTCCCAGGCCATCCCTCTTTCCCAGTCCACCCCTGGGGCAGCTCTGAGATGAGGGGCTACCCTGGGTCCTGGGTGCTGGACCCTCAACCGGGGGGTGGAGAAGGAGGTGGGAGGACGGGCTGGGTGCTCAGGGAGGGCAGCCCCCCTCCTGGCCTCTGTGGAATGGGGCCCATCCTGGGAGAGGCGCTTCTGTATAGAAACAGTGCTCCTTGAGAGGCTCAGGGGGCAAGGGAGGAGACGGGCCCCATCTGGGAACTGGCTATGAGTGAGCTATGCTGGGAGGTCTCTGGGAGCCCCAGGCTGGAGGCCAGAGCCCTGGATTCGAGTCTGGATTTGACCTTTCCTTGGCTGCGTGACTGGACAGGTACGTAGCATCTCCTGGCATTGGGGACAGGACTCCATCTCTGTAGGTACTCTCTCCTCTCCTGGGGGTCAAGTCCTCCACCCTTAACTGTGTTTGTAGCACCTCAGGATGGAGTGAGGGACTGAGCTGGCCCCAAACCAGGGGCCCGGACCCAGCTGGGGAGATGCCCCTGGAGTTAACCAGCAAAAGAGCACTGTGTGTGTGTGCGCGTGTGTGTGTGTGTGTGTGTGCGCGCGCATGCACGCGCACGCGCGTGTTTGGTGGGGGGACCAGAGGGAACACAGGGAGACGGGGCTCATCAAGCTCAGAGGTCAGGTAGGACACATCGTGGGCTACTGGGCTCCTACATTACCACCGTGTGCCCATCATACCAGCAGGGGCCTGGGACAGCACCTGCTTGGGCTCGTATTCCAGTTCTACGCCCCTCTATCCTGGGCAAGAGGCTGGCCTATGCCTCGGTCTCCTCATCTGACAAGGAGTCATCATAGAATCTACGCGTGGGGCTGTCGTGAGGACCAGTGCTGTGCTGTCCCCAGGCACCGAAGACACAGCGGGCACAGAGAGGGGGCTGTGTGCCTGTCGTCATCCAGGCTGAAATCGGATGATCTGGGTTTGAGCAGCTCTGAGCTTCGCTTTTGACACTGATCAGATGGGGGTGCCGAGACCCACCGAGCAGGGCTGTGATGGGGACACCATGAGTCTGTGGTGTGGACAGTTTTGTCATCGTGAGGGCAAGGGTGTGGTGTGCGGGAACCCGGGAGGATGGTGTTTGGGGCTCAGCAGTTCCCGGCCCACCTGCATTCGCTGAGCCGGGCCCCTTCCCCGTGCATGACCTTGAGTAGCGTCTCCGACCTTCCTGAGCCTCGGTTTCCTCCTTGCAGAGTGAGGGCACAGCCTCAGTGACTGCCAGGAGGCTCCTGGGGTCTCCCCATTATGCCCTCCATGCTGTCTTCCCCTTGACCTTGCCCTCGTCCTCTCTGGGTGCACCTTTGGCTCCGGTGGCAGGAGCAGACTTTCGATGCTGCTTTCTCCTCCTGTCCCCTCGCTGCCTCATCAGGGCCTGTGGTTGGGCCCTAACCTTCCCTTGACCTTGCATCCCTCTGCCCCACCCTCTTCCTCTCACCCTGGACTCTCTGCCGGTCCTTTCCTGGGCATGGAGTCATCCTGATGACTGGGCCTGACCTGGGACGACACCCTTACAAATTATGGACAGTGTCCTTGCTCTTGGGCAAGGCTCACATCATCGAGCATGGAGCGGTCACCAGAGGGCCCGTGGGAGCCACCTTGTTGGGCTCTGTATTCTTTGGGGTCCCACCCCAGTGCCCTGTGCTATGGTGGGATCCAGGAAGAGGCTGCCGGACCTACCCTGGGAGCTCACCCTCCTGTGGGGATGGCGGGACAAGCAAGGGGGAGCCCACAGGCACCTCTCTGGGCTCCTTCCTGTACCCAGGACGAGCACCTGCTGGTCAGCCCGCGCCCTGCTGGGCCTTGACTCTCTGCTGGAACCAGTGTCTGGGCAGGGTGGGATAGCTCGAGAAAGTGCATCTTGGCTAGAATCCCAGCTCTGCTTCTTACCACATGTGTGACCCTGGGCGAGTTGGAGACCTGGAGCCTTCGTTTTCTCATCTGTGTAATGGGGATAATGAGGCCATCGGGCAGATGAAATGAGCGCGTGTGTGTATAGAGCGGGTGTGGGCTGCACAGGACGAGTATCGTTATGAGGTCAGCGGGACGTGTTTATGGTCGTGCACACTGCAACGGTGGGAAGGTGTGTCCTAGGAGTTACAGGAGGAAGGGGAGAGGCCCTGCTGGACTCTGGGCACTCTGCCCTGGCTCAGATTCCAGATATGCCTCTGACCATCAGTGTGATCTTTGGCAATGTGCTTACCTCTTTGTGCCTCAGTTTCCTCATTTGGAAATTGGGATAGTAAGATGCTCTTACTACTGCATTTAGTTTCCAACAGGGCCTGGCATATGGTAACCTGTCAGCAAGGGATTTCAGGTGTGGTGAAGAGGTCAGTGGGGCAGTGTGAGGCTCCCTGGGGTCTCCCTATGGCTTCTTTATGGGGCCTTGAACAAGTCTTTCCCATTTCTGGGCCTCAGTGTCCCCAGCTGAGAACAAAGGGCTGGGCTTACTCAGAGAGCCCTTTCAGCTCTGATGACACATGGGTCCCTGACTCATTCCTGTGACATCTGCCCTGGGAGATGGAGCCAATGGCTCTCGGGACTGGGGCACTGGGTCCCTACTCTGTGCTGGCTCTGATATAAGCATGAGATGGCCCAGAGCCATCCAGACAGCTCTGCTGTGGTCAGGGAGCCTACTGTTTACTTTCATTCATTTAGCTGCATTTATTGAGCACCGACTGTGTGCCAGGCCCTGTGCTCATTCAACAGTAGGGTGAGCACACTGCCTGACCAGTCCCTGGTCAAGGGCCAAGGACAGCCCTGCTGTTGCCACCCTAGAGGGAGCAGCAGGGCTCAGAGGAAGATGTCCTCACACTCCAATGGGAAATCAGGGAGGGCTTCATGGAGAAGGCAAGAGGGGCGTTTGAAATGGGCCTCGAAGGATGGGAGGACCTCTAGGGGCAAGGGGGAAGATAGACGGGGGAGAACCACCAAGAGGGCCCTTTAGAGGGTGAGCCTTGGTTTTCCGGCTGCCCGGAGTCACTGGCTTGTTAGGTGGGTGGGTGTGGTTCTCGCTCCCAGACACGGGCACCTTCCTTCTCAGTCCCTGAGAAATCTCAAAAGTGGGAATGTAGGCTTTGGTTGCCTCAGGACCACCCCAGGCTTCTGGGTGGGGCTGTAGGGGCTTGGAGCTGCCCTGGAGGCAGCGGAGTGCCCGCAGGGGAGGCTGTACCCTCGCCCAGGCCCAGGAGGGTAGAGAAGAGGTGGCAAATTGTCATTGGATGCCCTGTCTCAGGGGCGTCCTGGCTGACTGGGTGTTGGGGCTCAGGGGACAGAGCAAAGCCCCTGGGACAGTGAGGGCACAATTGTCCCAGACCCGGAGGTCTGAGGGGAGGAGAGCTGGGCTTTGGCTGGGTCGTGGGGATCCCCTATCAGGGGTGCTGCAGGCCACGGGGGAGGTGTTGAATTGGAGAAAGGCCCCTGGAGCTGGGCTGGAGCACTGTAGTCAGATTCTGAGGGAGAAGGGAGGGGACAGAGCACCCTGGTGGGGGAAATTGGCGAGGGAAAAGGGGTAAAACACCCAGGGCACTTGGGAGCTCTCGGGATCAAAGAGCAGCAGCGTGGGAAGAACTCCGCCTCTGGGACTCCTCTGCTCTCCCTTCACCCCTGCCCCCAGACCAGGACCACCTGCCTCTCCCCAGAGGCCTTCCCGCCTCCCCTTTGCCTGCTCAAAGCAGCAGTCCCTTAGCTTCCCCAAAGGACCATTAGATGGTTTTCCTCATTCTCCACCCCCCAGCCCTGCAGGGTGGCAGCAGCTGCACCTCCCCCTGCACAGCTTCTACGGTAACAGGTCACGGCCCAGCCTCACCTGTGTGCTGAGCAGGAGAAGAATCTCTGACAGAGACCTCCACGGTCACTGACCTCCCATGCAGGGCCCCTGGAGCGCCTCCCTCAAAGCCTTCTTGGCAGGAGCAGGTACTCCTGAGTACAAATCTTGGATAATAGGGACAGGGACGATTACCCGGGCTGATACCTGTGGATGCACCAGTGGATACTCGGGGTCAGGGACTCCATGTCTCTTTCCTCTCTGGGCTGTAACCTGCTGGCCTATCCCCATCCCAGGTTGCTTACAGGCAGGTAGGGGAGTAAGGGCGTAGACAAGGTCCTGGGTAAAGGTCACTGCAGCCCTGTGTACCTCAGTTTCCTCATCTGTCCTTGAGGATTCTGAGCACCTGTCTGTTCTGTGGCTTCTTCTCCTAAGTTTATATCTTGCTGCATTCAAAGCATTTCTTCAACTTCCTTGAGGGACAGTGATGGGCAGAGGTCGGGGGAGAGCCCGGGAGTTCTCTGGAAATCCCTCTTCCCAGCTCTGTCCATATTCCTTAGAATATTTGTTCATCTCGTGGCTATTCTGTTCCAGGCAACTTTCTAGGAATTGAGGACCTAGTAATGAACAAAAACACAAAAATCCCTGTGCTTGCTGAGTTATATGACTGTATATGTGTGTGTGTGTGTGTGTGTGTGTGTGTGTGTGTGTGTGTGTGTGAAGAGAGAGAACACATGAAAAAGCAAATAAGTAAATAACGCCGTGATGAAAAATAAACTATTTTGAGGATATGGTGAGTAACAAAAGGTGCTTTTTAGTATAGCCTGGTCAGGAAAGATCTCTCTGAGGAGGTGACATTTCAGCAGAAGCTTAAAGGAAGGCATTGAGCATGTATGGGCAGTGGGACCAGCAGGCACAAAGGCTCTGGGGCTGGACCACGTTGGCACGGTGGGGAAGCGACTGACTGCACAACCTGAGAGGGGAAGGGCCCAGCCTGTCTCTCGGGGTGGCGAGGCCCTGGCGAGTACTTACCTGTGCCCTCTCTGCTCCCCTCCACCGTGGTTCCCTTCCCCAGTGCCACCCCGTGGATGTGATGGCGGTCCCTGCTCTGTCCTGGCGTCTGCCCCTCCTTGTCCTCCTCCTGCCCCTGGCTACCTCTTGGGCAACTGCAGCGGTGAACGGTGAGGACCCTGGCATCTGGACAGCTGTGCTTTCCTGGGGAGGAGGCCAAGGCCATGCTAAAGCCCTTTCCCAGACCCCTGCTTCTTGGCAGAAGGTCCACTGGCAGGGGAGGAGGGAGAAGCAACGGGATCGGAGAGCAGGCGTCCACCCCCTGCCTCGCCCCGGGTCTGTGCTCCCCACACGTGTGCACACATGCACACATGTGCGCCTCTCCAAGCCACAGGAAGGCTCCTCTTCACTCCTGCCCGTTTCCTCCTCTCTAAAATGGGTCCATGAGTCCCATCTTTGCCCGCCAGAGTTGCCTAGCTCCTCCTCCTCAGCAGGCAGGGGTTCCGGGAGTGGGGGTGGTGTGTGGGCTGCGGGGGTGGTGGGTGCCCTGCAGTCACTGCTCATGCCTTGTCTTGCCTGGCAGACGCTTCCCAGCTCAAGTGCTTCTACAACTCGAGAGCCAACATTTCCTGTGTCTGGAGCCAGGATGAAGGTCTGCAGGGTACATCCTGCAACATCAGTGCCCAGTCAAACAAACGGTGAGCGTGCTCCACCGACACCACGGCAGCATCTCCGGGCAGTGTGGTTTCAACATCACTGGCTTTTAGGCTTCTGGAATCCTAAATGACAGACTCCAAGCAGTTGGCACTTACTGAGCCTGGGACGAACAGGACCATGACTCTTAAAATCATAGGTGTTGGCCAGGCTCGGTGGCTCAGCCTGTAATCCCAGGACTTTGGGAGGCTGAGGCGAGTGGATTGCCTGAGCCCACGGGTTCGAGACCCACCCGGGCAACTTGGCAAGACCTCATCTCTACAATAGATAAAAAATTAGCTGGGTGTGGTAGCGTGCGACTGTAGTTCCAGCTACTTGGAAGGCTGAGGTGGAAGGATCGCCGGAGCCCAGCAGGTCAACGCTGGGGTGGCCGTGAGTGTGCCACTGCACTCCAGCCTGGGAGACAGAGACTCCAACTCAAAAAAAAAAGAAAAGAAAAGAAAAGAAAAAAATCATAGGTGTTTGAGCCTAGGCCTAGAATCAAGACATTTGTCTAAGGGAATTACGGAGTCAGCTTTTAGACTCTTGGAGCCTAGGTGGTCCAGGCTAAAGTTGGGACAGGGGCAGGAGGGGGGCTGGTCAAGGTGGTCTGGGGACACCGGGCTTCGACCCTGCTTTGCCGAGGCTGGACTCCACTCTAGGGGCAAGTGGGGAAGCAAGGGGCTCCCCATGCTTTCTGGGGAGTCGGATCTTGAGAGGGCCCCTGGGCAGCTGTGGGGACAGGGGACGGAGAGTGGTTAGGTGCCTGAGGCCAGCCCTGCTGTGATCCAGGTGGCAGGAAGACTTGGTGGGGGTGGCAGGAAGGGGAATCCCACAGGGAGGTGACTGGGTCCAGGTGGGTTCCCCAGGGTGGAGGAGTGGGGAGGACAAAGAGGGGCGAAGGTGGATTGGGGCCCTGGCTTCTGGGTGGGTGGCGATTCCACAGGGTTCTGAAGGCCAAATTAAACATCTGTCTTCCCCGAAAGCCCCGTGGCGCTATGGAGGGCTTCGGTGGAGAGGGCCACGTGTCTTGAACTGGGTTGTGTTTCTAGATCACCAGCCGCTGTGGGGCCAGGCTGGGAAGACAGGGGCAGGACAAGGCGCTCATGAGAGGGCCTGGGAGGGGAGTTGGGCATAGAGCCTTGCTGCCTGGGGGCCATCCTGGAACAGGGAACTCTGAAAAGAGCCCTTGAGCTGCTCTGTGGGTCTCCCCTGTTCTTCTAAGGAGGTCCTTTTGCCTTAAAAGATTGTGGACCAAAAACTGCCAGCTGCTCCCTGTGAGACAGGCAACCTGGGCCTGCAACCTGATCCTTGGAGACCCTAATGTGAGTAACCCAACCAGGGAGAAGGTGGGGGAGGATGTTCTCCCAGCTCAGGCTGTGGTCTCAGGGAGGGCTGGATGCCATGGGAGGAGCCAGCAGCCAGCCCAGTGGCCAGGGGCTGTGACCAAGGAGGAGGCGGAGGGAGGCAGAGACACCAAAGGGCGCGGCTCGGGCATCCTCCGTGTGCAAGGCTCCTGCCATCCCATCTCTGCTCTCGCCGCCTCCCCATGCTCTACGGTCCAAGAAGGAGAGCACCCAGTAACAACAACCACAGCCAGCTCTTCCTGAGGCCTCAGTGGTGCAGGGCAGCGTGGGGTTAAGAGTGCAGGTCGGGCTGGGCTTGGTGGCTCAGCCTGTAATCCCAGCACTTTGGGAGGCCGAGGCGAGTGGATTGTCTGCGCCCACGGGTTCGAGACCTGCCTGGGCAACTTGGCCAGACCTCACCTCTACAATAAATAAAAAAATCAGCTGGGCATGGCAGCGCGTGCCTGTAGTTCCAGCTACTTGGAAGGCTGAGGCGGAAGGATCGCCGGAGCCCAGCAGGTTGAAGCTGCGGTGGCCGGGAGCGTGCCACTGCATTCCAGTCTGGGTGACTGAGTGAGACTCCAACTCAAAAAAAAAAAAGTGCAGGGTGGAGCTGACCTTCCAGCCCCACTCTGTCTTTTGCCAGCTAGGTGCCTCAGCTTCTCCCTCTGTGAAATGGGAATGATAATGGTACTCACCTTGCCGGGCTATCTGGGGGGGGGGTCAGTGCCGTCCAGAGCACAGCCTGCACTTGACACCATTATCAGTGGATCCCTACAAGCCCACGGGTGACCCCAGCACTGTCCCTGTCTTACCCATGAAGAAACTGAGGCCCAGAAAGGTGCAGTCCCTGCCCAAGGTCACACAGCCAGGTGCTAGCTGAGCTGGAATTGAACCCAGGCCTGTGGGCCCCCAGTCTGGGCTTTGCACCGTGGTGCTAGGCCACCTCTTGCAGGGCGTGTGGCCGAGTCCTAATGGGTGTGTGTCAGATTATTGTCCCTCAAACCCTCCTGATCAGTAGTTGGGCAGCAGGGATGCCCAGACCGCATCCTCCAACCGTCACCAGGTATTCTCAGGGGGGCAGGAGAGCGTGAAGACGGAGGCGCACCATGTGGCTAACAAAAGCGCAGCCCCTGGGACCAGATGCTTTGCCCACTAGGGAGCCCGGCAGGTCTGGTTTCTGGTCCTAGGGCTGCCATTTCCTAGCTGTGTGACCTCAGGCCAAGCCTCTCTGTGTTTCAGTCTCCTCAGCTAGAGGATGGGAATAGTCATAGTTCCCGTGTCCAAGGGTGTTGGGAAAATTAAATGAGATAATACATGTAAAGTGCTCAGAAGAGTGGTGGCACAGGGCGAGTATTGATGAGAATGGGCAGGGTCCTTGGTGAGGAGAGGGAGGAACTCTTTCCTGGCTGACCGTTTGGTGGGAACTCCTATAACCAGATTCCAAGATTTGCTCATAGCTGGGCTAGTACAGGTCATAGAGACTATGTCCAGGGTCCCAGACCCCAGATCCTAACTGGGCCCGTTCTCGGGCTTCCTCCTGCACAGCTGTGCACTGCCAGGTTGCCGCCTGATGGTGGGAGACTGCTCTGAGCTGCTCCCTCGGCAGTCCCTGGCCAGGCGTGACAGGCCAGGGCTTAGGGTTGCAGTTACTCTGTGGGGCTGTGGACACAGAGGGCTTGGGCTTGAGCCTGGGTCCCTCCTGCTGACTTGTCGTGTGGCTTGGGCGAGTCCGTGAGATAAGTGGCCAAGACATCTGAGTAGTGGTGCCCATGAGAGCCGTCCAATACCTGGACATTTCTTTCCAGAGGAGTCAGGGTGTAGGCCAGGTGTGGTGGTTCACATCTGTAACTCCAGTACTTTGGGAGGCCGAGGCAGGAGGATCACTGGAGCCCAGTTCGAGATCAACCTGGACAACATGACAAAAGCTTGTTTCTATAAAAACAAAAATTAGTCGGGTGTGGTGGCACATACCTGTAGTCCCAGCTACTCAGGAGGCTGAGGCAGAAGGATTACCTGAGCCCAGGAGGTGGAGACAGCTGTGAGCCATGATAGTTGTGGTCATGCCACTGTACACCAGCCTGGGTGACAGAATGAGACCTTGACTCAAAAAAAAAAAAAAAAAAAAAAGAGTCAGAGTGTGTGGTGGGGAGAGCTGGGGAAAGGGAGTCTTTTGCATCTCAAGCTATTAAACAGGTGCCGTTTCAGACCTGCTCCTTTTGGGGATCGCCAGCTTGCATGCCGCTTGTGATGGAAAACTCCCTCCCAAGGCCGCTCGCTTGATTCAGATCAGGGGCTGGTCAACTACTAAGCCCTGTGGGCCAAATCCAGCCCCTGCCTGGATCTGTAAATCACGTTTTACTGGTACATGGCCATGCCGTTTGCACACATGTTGTCTGTGGCTGCGTCACACTTATAGTGGCGGAGCTGAGTCGTGGTCACAGAGACCACGTGGCTGGCAGAGCCAAGGACAGCGACTGCCTGGCCCAGAAAACGTTTGTTGCCCCTGCCATGGATGGTCAGCATGTGGAGGGGCTCCTGGCCCCCCCCAGTTGTCGCGATGGCTTCCTCCGCCCCTTCATCCCGAGGGTCCCCCTGCCCCACCCCAAGCTATTGACAGCTTTATCCTTGCCCTGCTTCCCTTGCAGTCTCAGAAGCTCAACTCTGCAGAAGTCGTCCACATGAAAGTGAAGTGCTGTGAGGGAATGCAGTGCAGGGTGATGGTGACCCAGGACTTCAAGCCCTTTGAGAACTGTGAGTCAGGGGCTAGGGTGGGCCTGCAGCAGGGGTGGGCAACTCCTTCCCTGCCTTCCCTCTGCAGCCTCCCGCCCTGCTCCAGCCTCCTGCCCATCAGCTTCTACTCCCGCATCTGACCAGCTCACCGCCGGCTACCCTCCGGATCAAGTCCCTTCTCCTGACCCTCGCATTCAAACCTGTTCAAGATCTGACCCTGGCTCTCCTCCCCAGTATTCCTCCTCTTGTGGCCTATATTTCTGCTACCACCGAAGGCCAGCTGTCTGACTCACCCTGCTCATTCATGTCTCTGAGCCTCTGCCCTTGCTGGTCCCACTGCCTGGAAGGCTCTTCCTGCTTGGAAAATTTCCACTCATCCTGCAAGGCTCAGTGAAGGGTCGCCTCCTCCAGGATGTCTTCCCAGACTCCTCCAGCCCTCTGTACCTCCTCTTTCGGGGAATTTATGTCCTGGGCTGTCACTGCAGGTCTGTCTCTTTCACTGGGCTGTGAGTTCCCTGAGGGCAGAGTCTATGCCATCCTCGAGTCTCCTTTCCCAGCACCCATCACTAGATCTGATCAGGACAGTGCTCTGGGAAGGTCTGTTCCATGGCTGAGTACCTGCTCCATTCCCAGCCCCTCCCCTCTTCCCCCTTGAGGTGTGTCTCTAGGGAAGAGGTGGAGTAGACAGTGAGATCCAGGCCCTAACCAGATGTGTTCTGACTGGCGAATCATTTAACCCGTGTGGGCCTCAGTCTCCCCATTTGTAAAATGGAGGTAATCAGAATCACCTGCACACAGGATTGGCGTAAGGCATCTTTGAGCCAAGACATAGAAGCTGCTTAGCACGTAGTCAGTCCTCAGGGAACATCCACGTTTATTTGTGTGGTTCTGCAGAGTCTCAGAATTGTAGAAACTTGGGCCAATGTAACCTCAGAATCATAAAATGTCATACCGGTCACATTTAAGATCAATAGGAGGACCCCTGTGCAATTTCAAGTGCAGAGAAAGGCTGCAATGACTCATTCTCGCAGCAGGCATTGGATCAGTTACCAGGGAATGTTCCAGGCACCCAGGACACAGCAGGCAGCAAAGTCCCTGCCCTCCGCCAGCTCACCCTTGGAGGTTGAGGGGAGGGGCCAGAAAGTGAATTAAGAACCAAAGCCAGAGGTCCAAAAAACCAGCGCAGGGGGTGGAGGGTGGCAGGGTCAGGGGTCAGGGAAGGCTGCTCTGCACAGGCAAGGATGGAGAGACCTGTAGGGAGGCATGGCCAAGGGTCTGGCAAGCAGAGCACCTGGGGGAAGGAAGGGCGGGGCAGAGGTGGGTTACTCCGCACCGTCTCCCACCTCCAGTGCGCCTGATGGCCCCCGTCGCCCTCCGAGCCGTCCATGTGGGAACCCACCGGTGCAACATTACCTGGGACATCTTGCAGGTCTCCCACTACATTGACCATAACTTGGAGTTCCAGGCCCGGACACGGTCCCCGGGCCACAGCTGGGAGGTGAGTACATGGTGGGTCCCCACCTGCCCCGGTTTCTCCTCCGTGTCCTGTCCTGTCCCCTCCTGTCTTGGTCATCCTTCATCTCAGGGAGGTCACATCAGCTCCAGGTAGACCATAGGTGGCTGCGTCCCCCCTGCTCGCCTTCTGCACTGCCAGCGGCCGCCTCCTCTCCTTCCACACGCCCCCTTGTAACCTGGGCATCCTGCTGGTGGCCGATTCCAGACCGACACCAGGGCAAGATTTACACAGCCAAGAGGCAGGCAGCTGCCCACCCATGGGGGCTCAGAGGCCTGGGAAGCCCCCCTCTCCACCCCAAAGCCAGCCTGCTCCACGTACACATGGGGTCCGTTGCAAATTCATCACATACTCATTCCCTATTTACTGAGCACTGACTATGCGCTGGGTGGTGGGAGAGGGTAAGGGGGAGCTTGGCAAATGTCCCACTTTCCTGAAACTCACACTGGGGGCAGGCCGCTGGCAGACGCAACAGGAGACCGTGGGGTATTCTAAGTTCGATCAAGAACATTAAATGGGATGAGGTATGAGAGTGACCCGGACAGGCTGCTTCAGACTCAGGTGACAGGGAAAGGCCTTTCTGAGGTCTGGGCATTAAGGAGAGGCTGACCTGGCCAAGATCTGGAGAGAGCTTTTCAAGCAGAGGGACCAGTCACTGCAAAGGCAGGATGCTGCTTGTGTGTCTGGGAAACAGAAAGAGGTGCAAAGAGCGGCCTGGGTAGGAGGGGCCTTGAGACCGCCCTCCTTCTGGTCCCATGGAGACTCACTGTGGTGGGGTGTGGGTGGGGACCAGAGGCCAGCTGCAGGCTTGAGAAGCAGTGGCGACTCAGACCCGGGGTGGAGGGGCAAGATCCTGGAGTTGGCGCCAGCTGATGGGACACGGCTTGGGATCTGGGGGACGAGAGCGGGTAAGATCCTAGGGTTTGGGGCCCCAGCACCTGGGGTAGTCGGGGAGCCTTTGGGTAGGAAGGGGGAGGGGCATGGTGGCTGGGTGTGCTCAGCCTCCCAGCCCTGCTGTGGGAGGCGGGGTGGGCCGCTTGGCGCTGACAGTCCTGTCCCGCTCAGGAAGCCCAGCTGCTGGCCCTCAAGCAGAAGCAGCTGTGGATCTGCCTGGAGGAGCTCACCCCAGACACAAACTACGAGCTGCAGGTGCGGGTTCAACCGCAGGTTGGCGACTTCAGGACTTGGAGCCCCTGGAGCCAGCCCCTGGCCTTCAGGACGAGGCCTGCAGGTACAGTGGGCAGCAGTGGGGGGGGGGGCTCAGGAAAGAAGGAGCAGCTGGGGGAGTAGCTGCCACCTCTCCTCCTGCCTGGGGTGGGATCTAGTGTTCAGCTCTACTCCAGCCCCCTCTCATCTACCAGACATGACCCTGCAGGGGCCACTGCACAGGCGGAGACAGGGCTCATGGGGGGGCTGGGACTTGCCCATGGCCTTGAGAGCTGGGTGGAGGGAGGCAGAAAGGCTCTTTTCACTCCCCTCCACCCAGAAACCCCAAACTCCTGGTTTCTGCCAGGGCCGGGGGTGGCTGCTTTCACCTCTCAGCCTCATCTGTAAAATACGTACAGTGACACCAGGCCGGGGCTGCCGTGAGGAGGGCATGTGACACCTGGCAGCCTGGAACACAGCAGGTCTTCTGGATGGGCCTGTCCTTCACCGCCTCACACCTTGAGTTCAAGCTCAAGGCAGAGCCGGGTCCTCTGTGGGGTGCCAGAGGGAAGTGGGGGAGGTGTGTGGCTGGGCGGCTGCCGAGGGGCTGTGGGCCCCTCTGTCTGGAGCCTGAGGTGCCCTTCGAATGCCACCGAGTCGCGTCCTGCTAGCATCAAGGCTGGCTCCTCGGAGAGGGCAGGCTTAAGCAGAACCCACCCCAGTCCCAGCCCGGCAGGGTGTCATGCCGACAGGGTGTGGCACCAGGATGGGGCGGGGTGCTGCAGTGACGTGGGAGCAGTGGCACTTCTCTAACCCTTCTCCTGCTTGTCTGCCCACTCTGGCAGCCCCCCGGAAGGGACCCCTGCCCCTGCCCTGGCAGAACATCATCATGGGCCTCAGCGGGGCCCTGGTCTTCATTATCTTAGTCTACTTGCTGGTCAACTACTGGTCCATCGGGCTCTGGTAAGAAAGCTCTCCTCCTCGTGCTCCCATCTCACACGTGCACACGTGTGCACACACGTGTGTGCACATGCCACTTGCCGGGCAGGGTTTGGGCTAAGCCCCCTGCTCTGACACCTGTGCTCCCTCTGCCCCCACCCCCAGAGTCCCTCCTGCCCACTGTGCCCCCTGTGCCCACTCCCACAGGGGTAGTGGGGAGGCCCAGCCCTCCAGGGAGAGCTGTCAGGACTTGAGGACGCGTGTGTGCACTTGTCAGCTGTCTGTGCGATGGGACCTCATGGCTCTATCTAGGTCTGGGCTGTCATTCGTTTATTCCTGGATTTGCTGAGCACCAGCTTGTGCCAGGTGCTGGGAACACCATGTCAAACCACATGCATGTGTTCCAGCTCCAGGGAGCTCACAGCCCAGTGGAGAGGCAGATCCTTATGAATCGCGTGGGTATATAATGACATGGGCTGAAGGGAGGTATCAATGTGTAGTCCCCCTCGGTGTCCACAGTGGGTGGCTTCCAGGAGCCCCCAGATGCCCAAGTTCCTGAAATAAAATGGCAGAGTGTTTGCATATAACCCACGCACACCCTTTTGGATATTTTAAATCCCCTCTGTATTACAATACCTAATAGCATGTGAGTGCCACATAAAGAGTGGTTATGCTGTATTTTTTTAAACTTTACATTTTTTTTTTTGAGTTGGAGTCTCACTCTGTGGCCCAGACTGGAGTGCAGTGGCCGCT